AATAATTGAAAAATTATATAATTAAAAGGCATATTTTTGGTAAAGTTGCAGAATTTATGTATACAATAGAGTTTCAGAAACGAGAACTTTCCCATGCTCATTTTCTTATCATATTAAATGAGAATTACAAATAACTAACTCCAGAAGCATATGATCGATTTGTATGTGCTGAAATACCAAATGAAAATATATATGCCTATTTATATTCACTTGTTACACAACACATGATGCATGGTCCTTGTGGTAATTTGAACCCAACAAATTCTTGTATGAAAAAAAAAAGATGTTGTAAAAATAAGTATCCTAAAGAGTTGTAGAACAAACAACCAAAGGAAAGAATTCATACCCAATTTATACAAGACGAAATACAGGAAAAATTGTGAAAATTAAAGGACACTTTCTTGATAACTTATGGGTTGTTCCTTACAATCCATATTTGCTTTGTAAATTCAATTGTCATATAAATGTAGAGATTTATTCAGATATATAAAAGTTGTTAATTACATTTATAAATACATTTGTAAATGGAATGATAAAATAGAATTTCATATACAGACTAATGATGTAAACATAGAGATAAATGAAATAAAAGAATATCAATCTGCTAGGTGGTGTCACCACCTGAAGCTGCATGGAGAATATTTGCTTTTTCTATTAGTGAAATGAATCTAACTATATATCACCTACAACTACATCTTGATGGACAACACTTGTTTCCTTCAAAAGTAGCGATAACATTAGTAATATTGCAAATAATCCCATTATAAGAAAAACAATGTTAACTGATTTTTTTTAATGAATAAATCAAACAAAGAAGCTATGGACCTAAATTTATTATATCGTGAGTTTTCTGAACATTTTGTAAAGTCAAAAATAGATAAAATATGGACACGTCGTAAACGAGGTCACGCTATTGGATGTGTAGTGACATGTCATCCAACCGAGGAAGAAAGATACTGTCTAGACTATTGTTAATGAATGTAAGGGGGCCAAAATCATATGAAGATCTGCGAAGTGTAAATGGAGTACAATATAATTCATTTAGAGAAGCTGCTGAAAAACGAGAACTATTACTTTGTGATAATAATTTGGTAGAATGCATGTCTGAAGGTGCAAGTTATCAAATGACTTCCACTTTAAGACAATTATTTGCTATGTTATTGATTTATTGTAATCCAACAAATCCTAGAGAATTATGGGAGAGATTTGAAAGCCTTATTTTTGAAGATTTCAATAAAAGTTCAAATAAAAATGTAAGAGAAATACGTTATAAAGTATTAAATTATATTAATGATATTCTTCATTCAATGGGTTGTGACATTAATGAATTCGAACTAATTTTAGAATATATCAAACCTTCATCAATAGCAAGAGAAGCTAAAGAAGTTCATTATGAAAGAAATATCATCGTTAGTGAGAAAGATTTATTATTAAAAAATAAATTAAACTCTGAACAAAGAAAAACTTATAATATTATTCTTGATAGAGTATTGTCAAATAAATTTGGTGCATTTTTTATTGATGGCCTTGGTGGAACGGGTAAAAGTTTTTTATATCGTGATTTATTGGCTACAGTAAGACATAAGGGATTGATAACTTTAGCAACTGCAAGTTCTGGCGTTGCAGCTTCACTTCTTCCTGGAAGTCGAACTGCTCATTCTTGATTTAAAATTCCTATTGATGTCGATGAAAATTTTACTTGCAATATTAGTAAACAAAGTTCACTGGCATCTTTAATACGAGATGCACGATTAATTGTGTGGGATAAAATTTCAATGAAGAAAAAGAAAATGGTTGAAGCATTTGACTTACTATTAAGAGATCTAATGGAAACAAATACGTTATTTGGTGCTAAAATAGTTGTTTTTAGGGTGATTTTCGACAAACTCTTCCTGTTGTTCGTACTGGAAAAAAAGAAGATTTTATTCGCGAATGTTTATTGTATTCTGAAATATGGAATGAACTTGAAAAACTACAATTATCAAAGAATATGTGTGCAATTAAAGATCCTGAGTTTTGTGAATTTTTAATGAGAATTGGTAGAGGAAAAGAAAAAACAAATGACCATGAAAAAATTGAAATTCCTCATTCTCTCATTATTCCTTTTACTTCTGAAAAAGAATCTCTAAATCTTCGATTTAAAAATACTTATCCCGATTTATACAAATGTTGAACAAAAACTTCGTTTGTTACTTCTGGTGCTATTCTAAAAATTAAAAATGATTTTGTTGATTATATAAAAGACATGTTGATCTCTCAATTTTCAAACATTGAAAAAGTATATTTTGCTATAGATGAAACTATTGATCCAAAGGATCAAAGTGAATACGAAGATTTCTTACACACTTTAAATCCTACTAGTTTACCTCCATACAAATTAACTTTAAAGAAGAATTCTGATTATGTTAATAAGAAATTTAAATCGCTGTGAAGGTTTATGCAATGGGACACGCTTAATATGTAATGATTTTAAACCTCATGTAATCAGTGCAATAATATCTAGCGGTGATTTTAAAAATACTCATGTATTTATTTCACGAATACTACTCATGACTTCAAAAGATGAAAAATTGTCACTTTCTTTTAAAAGAACGCATTTTGCTGTACGATGATGTTTTGTCATGACTATAAATAAAGCTCAAGGACAAACATTAGATTTTGTTGGTTTATATTTACGCGAACCTGTCTTCTCTCATGGACAATTGCATGTTGCTTATAAAGAGCTACAAGTTCCGAAAATGTCAAAGTATTAATTAGACCACCTATAATTGACGAGAATGACGATCATTACACATATAATGTTGTCTATAATGAAATCATTGAAAAAGCCTTTTCTTCATCTTTGCGTTATAATTTGCAATAGTAAATCTTATATACAACTTACATACCCTATATGTATATTTTTAACGTATTTATATTATTATTAATATTGCTTTGATTATACATTTGTCTTTAGCTTATTCTTTTATAATGTATTTTAATTGCAGATATATTACAACATGGAGGAAAGATATACCATCAATATGATCACTCCAGATACTAAAAATTGGACATGTAAAGTCCAAGTTGTTGATAAAATCGACCAAGGGACAACAAAGATAAAATCGCAAAATATCAAGTCTTAATTCTGCAAGATGAAGAGGTATTTATTTTTAATAAAATATATTATTGATTTTAAAGCTTGACTTTAATTGATTTAATTAAGTAATCCATCATTTCATATTTTTACTTTAATAATATAAAATAATGATAAGATAACTTTAAATTTTACACAAGTATCAAACTTTTAACAAATTCTTTATAGGAGAATCAAATTCAGGCCGCCATTTTCAGTATTGATATAACATATTTTGAAAAAGAATTTGTTCCTTTCAAGACTTACTTGGTATCTGTTGCATATGTGAAAGTCTCACCTCTTAGATACGAAAACTCACTTAACAAATTCATTTGGACACTCGACAAAAACACCATTGTTGAACTAATTGAAGAGGTCAAACCTCCAGAGGATCCATAACCACCACCAACACGACCGGCTATTGTCAAATTTGACACTTTTGAGTATCAACCCAAAAAAAATGAATTTGACATTTATAAATTTATTGAATTATTTTTACTATTATTCACATAAAATCTAATTGTTATTATAATAGAATATTTCTCATGATCTAGTCATTGTTTTTCTATTTTTGTTTAATGCAAGATATACTTGCCAATGTCATTAATGACAGTCCTTCAACAAAGACAACAACTGGAAAGCGACTTCAAGAGTTCATTGTCATGGACAAGCTGTAAGTATATATATAGAATATCACTCTTGTCATTTATCTTTGTATCTTATTACTTGTTTTCAAAGAAATGTTCTTTTTGGTTAAGAGAGTTCTCTTTTTTCTTTTTGTTTTTCATAGTTGATATATTTGTATTTAATAAAGATATTATATATCTTACAAATTTCAGTAACTTTGTTTTGTAATCGTCTTCTCCAAATGGGTAATCTCGATTTTTGAGATTTTACCTGTAGTTTTAGCAGTGTTCTTTGTTTTTAGCTAAGATTGTCTTTTTTCTTCTTTTTAGTTTTTATTTATTATTTATTTGTGCATCTTCCCCTCTCTTTTGTTAATGAAGTAATGTCATTGTATACCTTGTTTCTTTGAGTCATTGTGAAGTAAAGATTTAGTTTTTATAAGCATTGATTTTCTTCCTGGTTTGTTTCTCTCCTTTTTATTTTAGATAAATTCACTCTCCAATATTGTGGATATAGTCTGTTAAAGAGGAATATACTCATTGCTCTGTTTGATTTGTTTCCCTTGGTAGTATGATTTACTCTTATTTCTTAAAGATCAAGATTGAATTTTGATCAACAGCTAATGACATTTAAGTTTATTGAGGTTCCTTGTTCATGTTCTCTTTAGAAGCCCCAATCAGTGAGATTAAGTATCTGTTAATCTCAATTTTCAATAACTTTAAATTTCTCTAAAGTACACTTATCTTAATTTGGTTAATTTTATCACAAAAAATTCATATTAGATTAACTATCAGTATATATTGGCCATCACTTTGAATATCTGTAATACTTTCATAGATTAAAAAGTTCAATTTCATTGTTCAACCAGATTGTTTCTTTGTTTGTGCATCTTTTTTTTTTGACTTTTATATCACAAAAAATGCTACTATTTGTTGATAATAATCTAATTTGATTTTTATAATTTATAATATACTATTGTTTTAACAATATCACATATCTTCTCTAACTTTATTTTATTGTTTAATAACGTCCTGCGAAACATATGCAGGAAAAAACCAACAAATCTAACACTTTTGGAGGATTTTATTGATCATGAGGGAGTTAAACTTTTCAATCAACTTCATGATTACCCGATTATTCATGCTAGGAGAATTGCGAAATCATCCCTAGGTAAAACTGCAAATAATTTTATTTTTCTTGTTTTGAAAATTATATGACATGATGAAACTAAAATCACATATTCAAATGCACGTAGGAACATCGAATATATTCATTGATTTGACGAGCAAATTCAATAAACCGATTGAAATCAATCCTCCATATCCACAGGCTACTGAGTTAAGGACATGGTAATATATATTTTTATCTAATGCATCGAACTTACAGAGTATTTTGACATATAAAATACATCTTTATTCTTATGATTAAAAAGTTTTAAAATTCTACTTTTATTTCTTTTTTTCATAATCTTTCTACGAGACATATATAATAAAATGAAGATCGTGGAATTCTTATTTATTTTTGATAAATGTATGTACCGTATACTTGTTTGCAATTCTTTTTAGAATTTTCAAAATGATACAAGTTTTTTCAATAAGTAAACATTAATAAATTTTCATAATTTTACTTGTATATATGATTAAAACAATTGAAGCAAAGGTACTTTTTTATAAGATGAAAAGTACAACTCCAACAGGCTCTATTATTTTAATTCCATTTGAGGATGATATTATATGTGGCTAACATCCAAGAACAACCTCCGGTTTATTTTGAAATTTTTTATTTACAAGTGAATAATATTTGGTATTATTGAATTTGAAGGAACAAATATTTAATATAGAGGCTGAATTGTGTCTTGCAAGTAAGGATCAACTCTTTAGTTTGTTAGCATGCTCAAATTGTAAGCAATTATTCACAAGATATAATGTGCGAAGGGAAATCTACTGCACAAGTTGTCACCGATCCACACATCTTATTCTTAGGTATGTTTGCTCTTCTACAAAATTAAAATTATTAATAACTAATTATATTCAAACAAATAAATGTCTTAACTGATCATTAATTTTAATTTTTTTCATTAATTATCAAAACAGGTGTCAATTTGAAGTTACTGTTAAGGACAATAACGGTTTTGCAATAACTATTGTTTCAAATGAAATTGCAGAGAAAATGTTGCACCTCACTTCCGAAGAAATTTATGAAACTTGCTTCGATAAGGTATATATTTTTTTTTCTCACCAAATAATAACAAAGAACTTGTAGTGAATTTATATTTTCATTGTTTCTTGTTTCTTCTCTTGAATATAAGGTTCAAGTATCGATTCTGAACTATAGAAAAAAGATATCTTGAATAATATACTATCTAACTTCTAAGAGTTTCAAACTAATGTACATATGATCATGTGAACATATGAGTTCCTTAACTTGAAAAGGATATTGTATCTCTACAAGCTTAGAACTCTAGCATGACAAAATTTGTAATAAAGAACTTTTTTCATACAAAATTTCATATCTTAAGTTCATGATTATTTTCTGAGCATTCATATTGCACTTTTTGTTGTCGAATTTACAATCAACTTTCTTTATAAAAATATTATCATTGTATATATATTTTTAGGCTTTTATTCATTTTTACAAGTTTTGACAAGTTTTTTCTGTTGGCTGAGAACTTTGTGCAAAATGTTATGCACCTACCACAATAGACATGATCTTTTTTAGAACTATAATTACATGTTAACTCTAATTAGTCGAAAGACCTTCAATATTGAATTTGAGTTCAGATGTAAATACATAAACATAGAGATATTTGTTTTCCTTTAAAATATATTTAATATTAATTTTTTTGGGTAATTCTCTTTTCTTTCTTCATCAACTTTTCTTTTGATTTGAGAATTCATGATCAATGCATATCTTATTATTGTTGAATTTGTTATCATTAATCAAATATTTTTTACCAGAAAGGAACATCATCGCTGCAAAATGTGGAAGATCAACTGAATGGAAAGATATTCAACATTCATATGAAAAGGCTATTCACAAAAAAATTGGATGCAAAATTATCCATTTTGTCTTACCTGGAGAAAGAAGATATCGTTCATAACCAATGACATCTACTTCAGTCAATGTTACAGAAGGAAAAAAACGCACAATTGAACATATTAATTCAAGGGAAAAAGAATATCCAAGCATCGCAAATAAATTTAATCCTCCCATGAAAAAAAATTAAAAGGTATATAAATTATTTTTTACATTGTTTAAAACTTTATCTTTACAATTGACTAATAGTAATAGGATTTACTTATCTTTGTATTTATTTTCTTTGAATTCAATTCCGTCTCTAGGCAGATTATTTTTTATTATTTCAAATTTCAGTTGAAACACTTTTGTTGTGGTTGTCGAAGCAATCAATTTTTGCACTTTTTTGCTGCTGCCATTGAATGCCAAATTTTGCAAGCTTGTGATGTTACTATGTGGATGTCTTATGTTCCTGTTCTTTGATGGAAACTGAAAATATTCTCCTATGATAGCAGGTTAGTTAAAAGTAATTTTTTACAAGTATTACATTAATCAACATAAAAATACTTTCTTTTTGTTTTTATAGTTATTCCTATCGTTGAAGACTATTGTGTTCATTTTTAGGTCCTAAAAAGTGGTGTAACTTTCCTCTATTGATTTTGTCAGAATAACCACCTTAAATTTATAGAATCAAAAATTACAATAAGAAATAACATTTAGTAATTAAAAGCTTATGAAATCAAACCTTTTTAGTAAAACTTATCTAGAAAGAAATGATGAGAATAATCTTTCTACAATATGCAAAGCTCCAAAAAGCTTTATTCTAACTTCAGATGACACTTAGTACTATATAATATGTACCCTGCACAAGTTATGTCATTTTATATTTGGCTTATCATGACCCTATAAAATTGATACAAACTCTGGAATAGGCTTTGATCAAACACTATTACTGGTATGTTACTTTTCAAAAATATAGTAACTCTGCTGATACTTTTACTTTATTCATCACACTTTATTTGTACAACATACTATTTCTTTCTTTGTCAATAAGGGTGAAAATTTGGGTTGTGTTATTCTGTTTCCACCTCTTCATGATTTATCGGAACTTGAGATTTTTAATATCGTCATCATATGTCCATTTACTGTCTGGTGAAGATCTAAGTTGAAACTCTTAAATTAAATTTCTCCAAGACAAGTTTATAGGTAAATATTAAAGTTATTTCATAAATTTTTTGTCCAGATTGATTAATCCTTTAACATTACTGTCACAATCATGAATCAATTTCTTTATAAATAATGATCCTTTAGTCTTATACATATAAAATATTTTGAGTTGTATCTTATGGATTACCAAGATTTTCTTAATCTTTGATGAGGATTGTCATTTTTACACCTATTGAGCTTTGTTCAACTTTGTTTGGTCATATTGTCACTTTGCTTTCTTGTCTGTTTTTGCAATCTTTTACTATAAAAATAATATTAATCTTTAACTAAGATCTCATTTAATACATTTGTAATTGATACTTTACATTCCAAACATTTGGCTTTCTTATTTTCCCACTAATTCTCTATTCTATTCCAATACGAAAAAATGTAGTGTTTATGCTATTCTGGTTGACATTATCTTGCTAAATGATCTATTTATGAGAGAGTGAAAAAAAAATAACATACTTCTGTTCATATTGGTGTCATTATATAAAATGACTTATGTCAATCGTGAAATAGGGCTTCAAAGATGAGACTTAGTTGAAGCTTAATGTTTCCACATTTTTTTCATTCTACGTTGTATAAGTTATATGATGTGATTCTATGCTGGCAGGTGATTTTGATCAAAGATGATCCAGAAGATCCAAGCATGAAAGATGCATCTGTTTTTGTCTAATTTTATACAATATGTAAATGTATGTAATTAGCATTCCCACATGTGGAAATGTTAAATTATGTAAGTATCTCACTTCGACATTCAGTAGTATGACATTCACATGAATATATTATGAACAAATATGGAAGCTATAATGTGTTCGAATTACTATTTTTTCTCAATTGAAAGCATGTCTGCAAGCCCGGAGCAGTATTATGCATACGAATTTAGCAACTCCTAAATGCTAGTTGCTAATTTGTTAATATTCAACTACTCTCGATGTTCAGTTTCTTCATACTGTCAATTTGCTTGATAAACAGTGCATTTGTTTTGTGAACAAAATGCTATTTAACCATGTAATGTTGTGAAGTATGCTAATAGTTCAATACAAAACATTCATCTAATTTTGTGAAGTATGCTAATAGTCCAATACAAAACAGCCAAGGAGAGCTGATACCTGCACTTTGATATATATATTGTCCTTAATTCAAAGACAAAATTATCATTTTTATATCCTATTGTTTCAAATCAAAATGTACAAGGGAAGTGACCACAATGTTTTATGCCTAACATGTATTTGTATGTATATAAATAATTCCCAATTGATGTTTTAATATTGAAGGGGATTTTCACCTTGCTTAAGAAATCTTGGTGAAATGTTTTGTCTCGATATCGTAGGTAAATCAAACAAAAGTAAACGAGGAGACTCGACTGATAACGCATTGTAAAATAAAGCATGTGTCGTAAAATTAAAAGATAATAAATGTATAAAATATTAAAATATTAAACGTTGGGCCCGTGCTTAACAACGCTCATCTAGTCAATTAAGAAAGATAATAAATAATTCTAGAAATCTCTCTTTATATATATATATATATATATATATATATAATAAGTAG